CCACCTAGCAATCATGTTTTTTTTTTTTTCTCTGCACCTCTCATAGGGAGTAATTCAGGCCTCCACCTTCCACTCTTCAGGAGCCACAGGCAGCTGAGTGCCTTCTGCACCACAGTCCTCTCAGGGAAGACCTTGCAGTCAGAAAGAGGGGCCTGTGAGGGACCCCAGACAAGTCTGTTGTTGAAGCAGGATGAAGGTGAACTCTTCCATGGGGGACACCCAGCAGGCTCCAGGCTCTGTTATTCTTTCTTCAAGGGGCTTAGAGAGCTTCAGCCCATCATGAGACTCAGTCCAGCAGCATTTCCCTGTGAAGTGAAAGTTAGGACCCTGACTAGATACACCACGCTGACCTCAGCCAGAATGTCAAGATGCTGAGGTGCTGAGACACTGGGATGCTAAGGTGCTGGGGTGCTAGGCTGCTGGGGTTTTGTGATACTGGATTGCTGAGACGCTGGTATGCTGGGGTGCTAAAGTGCTAGGGTACTGGGTTGTTGGGATGCTCAAATGCTAGGATGTTGGGATGTTGAAATGCTGGGGTGTTGGAATGTTGGGATCTTGGGATGCTGGAGTGCTGAGATATGGGGGTGCTTGGGTGCTGGAACACTATGGTGCTGGGGGGTGCTGGACTATTGAGATGCTAGGGTAATGGGTTGCTGAGGTGCTGAGATGCTGCTGCATCAGGGTGCTGAGATGTTATAGTGCTAGGATATTGGGATGGTTGGGTGTTGGGATGTTTAAGTGTTGGAGTGTTGGGGTGCTGGAACACTATGTTGCTGGAGTATTGGGGTGCTGAGATGCTAAGATACTGGGTTGCTGAGGTGCTGAGATGCTGCAGTGTGGGGTGCTGAGATGCTGCAGTGTAGGGTACTGGAACACTATGGTGCTGGGTTGCTGGAGTGTTGAGATACTGTAGTGCTGGGATGCTTAAGTGCTGGGGTGCTGGGTGATGGGATGCTGAGGTGCTGAGATGATGCAGTGCTAGCATGCCGAGACGCGGGACTGCTGGGGTTCTGGGGCACTGGGCTGCTCAGGTGTTGGGGTGCTGGGATACTGGAGTGCTGAGAAGCTGGGACAATGGGATGCTGGAATACTATGTTGCTGGGGTGCTGGGGTATTGAAATGCTAGGGTACTGGGATGCTGCGGTGCTGAGATGCTGGGGTGCTGAGCTGCTGGGCCACAGGCTGTTGAACCCATTTGTTTGCCCAGGGAAAGAAATCAGAAGATAGAGAGAGAATGAAGGAGTCTTCATTGAGTGGGAGGAAGTAATGGAAGGAGCAACATCTTGGAGAGGAGCAGGAGAGAATGGACCTCTGGTTGGGAGAGAGGGCCAGGTTGCAGGCCGGAAGGGAAGAAGGATTCCAGCAGAGTGTGGGCTCCAGGCGTCAAGGCGAAACAGGCTTCTGGGAGGAAATAGTCTGGTACTACTGAAGGGGCAAGCCCGCTGAGGACCGGGAAGCGTTTGGCTTTATGACCAAGAGAAATTTGGAACTGCGACTAGAGTACTTAGGGGGATAGAGGCAAGACTGGAGCCGGATTGTTCTGGGTTGAGGGCTGAGTGGACGGGGAAGCAGAACACTGCCACTCCTTTGAAGGGTGGCAGAGAGCTGAAATTGGTGCTGGATGGGCTGTGGGATAAGGGGATCATGTGGAAAGCAGCCGGGGGTCACCTGGCAGAAGAGAGGCTGACAGTATGGTGGCAGGACACACACTGCCCGGAGGAAAGAAGGTAGGGTCAGGACTGCCGGGGCAGCAAGGCCAGCCTGGGGTCGGGTGGCAGGACGCATCCGGGAAGGTGGTCTGCAATGCAGCCCACACTGGCTCCGCCTTGAGGTTCCCTGTGATGGTTAGGGTAGGAAGTTGAACACCTTGGGAATGGAAGATGGAACCAGCTCTGCGGGACAAGGTCAGCTTTTATCTGTGGGACCCTGAGGGCTGGCAGAGCTGAGCAGAGACAACTGTGATCCATGAGGCTCTCAGACAGGCTGAGGTGGCCCCTCTGGGAGTGCTTCGTTTTCCCAGCGGGTAGGTTCTAAGCAGCAGTTGCTGGGCAGGTGGGTCCAACACAGAGCTAGAGGAGGGTGAATGGGCCTCCTGGTACCCTACTCCTGCTGCCCCTGAGTTCAATGACAGAAGGAGACAGCACAGCTGAGCCCAAGTGCCTTGGTGTGGCCCTGAGGGAAAGCTGCAGCCTGCCTGCGGCCTGACATGGATTGGACACTCGAGGCAGAGGAACAATAATGGGAGCTCCAGAGAGGCTGACTCCTGCAGAGGCTTCCTGAGGAGTGCTGCCTGAGATGGACAGGGAGAACAGAGACAAAGTCGGTGACAGGGAATGAAGGCTCCTTCGAAGAAAGGACATTACCCAGACCTATGGGGCTATCTCTCTCAGTAGGAAGCAGGAGAGGCTTGTGTGAGCACTGGCCAAGAGCTGGAGTGTTGGGGTGACGACTCTTTCTACAATCCCTCTGTCCCACCTCGGGCTCCTGGACTGGGGAGGTCTGCTTCCACCCCCACTGGACAATCATTGTCCCTTGTCACAGCCGTTGAGAGTGTTGGCAGGAGGATGTTCTTAGAGCACTTTTAGGCTCTGAGGGACATAACAGGCCTGCTCAGAACACATGCCTTTCTCAGCTCCTGAAAGCCACTGATCAAATTGGAACATTTTGTACCTTAGGGATGAGCATATCAACTCTCCCAGCCAGTTAGAGGGATAAATGTGACTGATGGTGCATTCCACTCTGACTACATCTGATGCCACCTATTGCTTCAGCCGCACTCCTATAGCACGTGGAGGTGGTGTGCTCTATCCGTGAAACCTGGGTACCTGCCTACCAGGTCCCGGCCTACGAGGTGTCAGGGTCTGGTCAAAGAAGGGCATGTGTGGTCTTCAGCAAGGGAGACAGGGCGGTGGCACAGAGAGTCTAGACCCTCCGGGCAAGTCTCCCCGTCCCTGCTCCCAGTGCAGTTGTCTTTGTGGGCTCCCATCCCCCTCGTTCATCCTCTGTAAAATGAGGGGCTAAGCCGCAAATAACAGGCTTCTATGCCGTGATGCAAAACTACTGGATCTTTCTGACACACGAGGCATCGAGCAGCCTCTGAAAGAACCGAAGCCACTAGCAGGCTTCCTGACTTGAGTTTGTAGGTACTGAGTAGTCTCTTGAAAAATAAAAACATAGAGGCATTTTTCTCCTGGCTGTTTATTACAGAATGAAGAAAAAACACACTGGCTCGAAACAGACGCCAGATTTCAAATGTAGAGCGAAATACGAGGTGGCAATTAAAATGTGATTACACAAAGTCTGGACACTGAGAAAAGTTTATAGGACAGTGGGTGTGGGTTTTCAATAACAGACACTTAAATATACATGACGATAATTGCAGATAGAAACCATCAAAGACAAACCCCAAATCAACTATTAATGTTTACAGATGTTCCCCCCCAAACCACAGAGCCTTACATCAAAACAAATACTGAAAGGCTTTAAACCAGGAACAGCTCGCCTTCACCCCGTGAGGGTGCACACAAGCTGGGCTTTTTCTTTCGGTCTGAATGGTAAAGGGAGGAAGATGCTCTAGCTCCTCAAGGTGGATTGCTAAGACAGTGCTTCGCTCACACGCTCTCTCTGCGCCTCTCCCAGATCTGGAGAACTCTCTCAGCCTCCTGGTAAAGTGTCTCTGTGGGGCACTTAACGATAAAACGGCTTCTGCTGTAAATGCTCATTAAGAAAGAGCTAGCGGAGACTGAAAGGTTTGCAAAAGAGATTAAGAATCACACAAGGCAATAGGGTTTTTAGTGAACATAGAAATAAATGGCCAAGTGATTTTCTATTTGGCATTTGTCAACTTGCACAACAACTCTTGGTCACATCCACATTGCTCATTGCATCAAAACCATAAGCAACTCAGCCACCTAGCTTAACAAGGTATCACTGGAGCAAACAACACAGTCTGCATATTTGTAACAATGTATAATAAACACAAAACAATGCATAGTAAACACAACTCTACTGAAACAAAAGCCGCCGCTTTATTTACAAAGTCACAAACGAAGTATAAATACTTCTGTCATTAATGTTTAGGAAAACCATTTACAAAATTTTCAAATATGTACACATAGCTTGAAAAATTACCAGCTTTCCATTTCGTCACAGGTAGAGAGGGATAAGCACAGGCTGACAACACCACTCAAACCGTAACGGGGGACAACTGCAGGTATGGATCGACACTACTCCTTAGAGAGATGTCAACATGGGGGTGTCTATGGGCATCTTGCTCAGCTTTAAAGTGCCCCAGCATCTTGGGTGACTCATCTAGCATTCTGGGCTGTGGCATCTGGGCAGCAGCATGCTGTTCCAAAATGTCATCAATCAGCCTCAAATTGCACACCCAGTCTTCATCTGTGCTCACACTGGAGCCTTTCAAGAGAGCATCAATGAAATCTACCTCATTGCAGTCAGGTGGCGAAATCAGATCATTTAGTGGGGGTTGGGGCTGGGACAAAAAGTCAGCAGGTGGCAGCTCAAGGGGAGTACCCGTTCTGTTGAACGGACCTGGGAACTGGCAGGCGGCAACAGCAGAAGCAGTGGCAGCGGTGGCAGCAGCAGCCACATAGCTTGGTGGCTCGATGCCCTGTATGGGGCTCAGGGGACTAAAGCTGGCCATACCCTGCTGGAGGAACTTGGTGGTGTTTGCTACAGGCACTGGGCCCCGCACGGGGCTCTGCCTGAGGCTCTGACTGCCCAGCAGGCTGAAGCTGGGGTTGTTGGCCCGAGCAGCACTCACCTTCTGGCCAGGCTTGCCTTCAGAGGCCATCTGATTGGGAGGCACCACTGCCTGCTGCGCTGGGAACGCTGGGGCTACCAGGGGCACTCTCACAGGTGCCTTGGCAAAGATGGAGTTGCTATCAAAATGCTGCTGAATGCTATTATCCTCTTGGCTCAGGGGTGGTTTCCCCGAAACTGCTGTGGTCACAGCTGCTGCCGCTGTGACCCATACGCAGTTGTTGAATGCAGTGGGCATTCTTGGCACACTAGGCTGTCTGAGCTGGTGGGGACTCAAGGACTGGGTGCCCAGGGGGTTGGGACAGAACCCAGGCAGGGGCACTTCTGGTGGGATGGCCTTGGGACTCTGCGTACGCTGGCAGACAGAGCCAAGACTGCCTAGGGGAGTCTGGCCCGAGTGTGAGGGCATGGGAAACTGGGGGCTAGAGGCAAAAATTCCTTGCTGCTTCCCCGGATTTGGTGAGATCACTCCCATGCCCTCGCAGCTCTGGTGCCTGGTAAGTGGGATAATTTCTGGACTCAGATTGTTCTGAAGGAGCCTAGTTCTGGGTGGCATCATGTGCTGGCTAGATGGGGGGCTTGCCTTGGTCCAGCTACACTTGGAGGTGACTTGTTCTTGGACGGCTACATACAAAAAGAGAGAAGTGGGGATCAGTTCCAAAGGCATCCTCGGCTTGGGCTGCGGCCACTGGAGGGGAGCTCCTGGCCCAGCACTGACTTCTTCTCACCTCCCGCCCTTGCCTCTCTACCAAGCCCCCACTCCCCAATTCCTCACAACTCCCCTCATTGCTCTGCCCTCAGCCTGGACTGCAGTTCTTCTGGGAAGCCGCCCAACTCCCTAGGTCTGTGCTCGCCAAGAGCAGATGACATTGGGCTGAAATGCCAGCTGATTTGTCTCTTCAAGAAAAGTGGAAGCTCCCGGAGGCCACGGCCCATGTCTGCTTTTACACTCAGTGCTCTGTATCCAGGGCCTGGCACTGCCTAGTCTTTGACAGATGGTACATATTTTGTAGAAGGAAGGAAGGGGCCAGGTGGGGTGGGCTGGTGGTGGAAGCCTCTTAGCTTCTCTACCTGATAGATGTGACGTGGGACAGCAAGTGAGTGTGGTAAGAGTGAGTGCAGCTGGTGCTTTGTTCCCCTCTGTTCTCCCCATAGCCTAGGTGGCCTCTGAGCCCAGGTCTGGGGCTGAGATTACATTTGTTCAACTGAGGCATAATGGGGTTCCTTTCTGAAGACTGAAATCTAGGAGTTGACATTCTGGACTCCCTGAGTTCTGAAGAGCCTGGGGATGGAGAGACGCCAAGCAGAAGATGGATGGTCGAGTCCTAGGTGCCTAAGGTGGGGAATGCATCTCCCCTCATTGTCATGAGAATCTACCCTAGCTGATATCTACTGTGGCCAATATCTACAGGCACTTTTTTGGAGTGGACACTGAGGCATGTAGCAATCACATGGTTTACCTAAGATCAGGTAGGGGAGACAGTGCAGTCAGGGCACGAGCCCAGTGTGTCTGACCCACAGAAGAGTCCATGCTCATATCTACACCAATGATTCTCTTTTAACTTTTATTATCATGGCATGTGTATGTTTTTCAACTGGGTTACAATCTAGCCTTATAAGGTTAACCTCCTGGAGGCCACCAGCCTTCCTGAAACTTGTCTGTGCTGTCCCTGCAACTGGAGTGTGCCCGATGTGGCACTCCAGCCTGCCCAAGTGGGACACACACCACTGGTATCAGGCCCAAAGAGATCTTCCATGAGACTGGAAGAACAATGGTGTAGAGATGTCACGGGCTACAATAAAGATGCTGACCACCTGTCTGGGGCAAGCAGCCTCTCCTGACCCTCAGACAAATTCTGAGTGTTCCCAAGACTACCCTTGGTTTAGTCCCATCTGGTCCCACTGGTGCGTAAGGGTTGCTGAATTCCTGACTCCCTGGGTAGCCTGCAAGCTCCATGAAGGAGGAACTATGTCAGGCTTTTTGCTAACTGCTGTATCCCAGGCCAATAAATGTTGATCACATTTATAGCTGCCATAGTAGGGTGTGGACCCCTGCTATCTACCTGGGAGCCCCTGACACAAATTTTCTGAAGCAGAGCCTCCCCAACCCCTTTTCCATTCCCTATATGTGACAGGTGACCCAGGAACCCATTAGAAATGGAAGTTGACTGTAGCAGCGTGTGAATGTGTGTGTGGGAAGAAGGGCAGGATCAGAACCCTGGGGGTGTGGCAGCCCCCAAGTGATTCTAATCCAGATCCTAAGGGGAGTGTCCCTGTCCCATTGAAATAGCTGCTTTAAAGGACCTGACTCAGGGAAATAAGTCTCTTGAATTAAATGGTGATTTTGGAGTCATTTAGACCAGGCCTTCAATTGGGATCCTGCTCTTAGAGTTGGATGAACTATTTAATTGATTTTCAGATCTCCTCTCTCTCAATGCTTTCAGAAACACACACAGTAAGTGCTTACTCTGAAATGAATTCTCACCCCACTTCCACATATGCGCCCTTTGCCCACCCCTTTGGGAACACTGGCCTTAACTGCTTACCTTGAAATTGACTCATCTGTTGTGACATATATGCATTCTGCCGTTCAGGGGTCATTGCCATAAGACCTGATCTCTGTTTCTCTTGCTAAACAGAAGATGAAAAAGACAAATTAGATTACAGTTACCAATAAATAATTAGCCTTAGGATCGCTGCATGGGGACCTAGGACTTGGCTTTGGTGTAGCAGAAAGCATGAGTGAACACACCAACACACACTTGCATGCATGCCCCACCCTCTTGAGCAAAATTCCACAGGTATAAATAAAGTAAGATTCTGCACCTGGGTTAAAAACACCAATTGCAACAGCATAGAATGGGGCAGGAGAGACAGAGCTTAATAGCAAGAGCACACAGAAAAAAAATTTAGGCATTTTGGATATCCATCTGCTCAGGATGGGTCAGCAGTGAGATGAGGTCACCAAAAGAACAAATGTAACATTAGGCTGCATTAATAGAAGCAGAGTATGTAGAAGGAGGGAGGTGACAGTCCTATGCTAACTCTGCCTTGGTCAGACCATACCCACAGGAGTCTGGGCATACCAGTCTCATGGAGACCCAGACAGACTGGCTGCATTCGCAGGACAGTGAGCAATGAGAGTGGGGACTGGACTTCAAACTGCCCAAAGAACGGCTGAGCAAGCCGAGGATGCTATGTCTGGGACACAGCATACTGTAGGCTACATAGCGGTGGATGCCCAGCCTCTGCAGGGCTGTCACAGGGAAAAGAACGGAGGCTTGCTCCCAGTGGTCCTGGCATGAGCAGCCGGATTATCACATGGTCAGGACACAGTCTCCAACACTTACTGCCAGCCTCCCGCCCTTCTCCTGACTAGCTGCAGCCTGGGCAATTGGGAGGAGCTTCCTGTCTCCATCTGAAAGCTGGCTGGGTGGGCAGGGGGAGGAGGGGGCCAAGCTTCAAGGCTGCCGTTTCAGCACTCAATCTGGGATCGGCTCAAGGAGCAGAGGGGAAGAACATAGCCAGGAAGGAATCAGGCCCCCAGGCCCAGAGAAGGCCTGACTCACTCTGAGACCCTTGGCCAATTGGTGTCAGGTTGTAACTCAGACCCAGGTCTGACTCCCAGTCCAGTGCTTGAAGCCTCACCCCACACCGTGAGGGGAGCCCAGCCATCTCTACTCAACTGCTGCCATCTCTGTCCCCTTCTCAACCACCAAGGTAGCTCTGTCTGGGAGCACACGCTCCAAGTCCACTTTCTGGTCTGCGTCCCCCCAGATGCCAGAGGACTTGACTCTACAACATGGGCTGTCCATGCGGTGTCTGCTTTTCCAGCAAAGGGCTTCTGGGTACCCTTCTCTGCACTCAGTGGGGCAGCGGGAGTGGGGCGGGGTAGAGACCCAGTGCTTGGGACTGTGCCCGGCTCTCAGTCCTGGCAGCAGTTCCTGGCCTTGGTTCCTGCCAAGGCACAGAGGACAAACACATGGCACCGGGAAGACTGCACCAGAAGCGATTCCACCAGACTGGGGTTTGCTTTTCCATCCCGCCCTTAGCCTGCTTCCTGTCCTGGTCCCTGCCTCCCCCTCCACTGGAGCTGCCATGTAGGCCATGAGGGGTGTTTCTCTGCTGTCTTATGGAGCTGCCCTCTCCCTGCTGAAGCATTGGCAAGGTGGCAGGGGGTGGGGTTGGGGTGGGATCTGCTTTTTCCAGCTTTCATTATACTGAGTGTGTCTCACCCATTATTTTATGTCATCTAGCAACACCCCATGTGGACATTGAGGAGCACGGGGGTCACATGACCACTGGCCAAGGCCACACCGTTGGATCTGCCTTGTGACAGCCAGGGTTGGTGACCGTTTTTAAAGGCAGTCCTTTCGCTTTGGCTTTTCTCCTTGCACCAGCCCCAGGACATCAGGGCAGAAGATCTACAGTCCCCAGCGTACAGCTGTGACAGCAGAGGCTTAGAGAGGTTAAATGACTTGCCCAAGGTAACACGGCTAAGATGTGCAGTGTCTCCTAACTGCAGGCCACGTGCTTCTGCTGCTTCTGGGGACACATTCCTGCCTGGCTGGCTAGGTCTAAACGGTCCCTAACTCCATCCCCACTGGTTGTTGCATTAGTTCCATCAAATAACACAATTGTACAGAGGTAGGGGTTGGGGGGCAGGGGCAGATGGAGGCTGGAGAGTGTGATCAAGGAAACAGCAGGGGAAGTGCGGTAAAGTCCAAATGGACGGACCGAAAGAGAAAGCCAAGCCCAGGGGCATGCCAGACCACCGCGGCAGGGCAGGCTTCAGCGGGTGCTGGGGCGTCTCCATTCCAGGAAGCACACATTCCAGAGGACCCCGGAGTCTAATGGAGAAGCTGGCCAGCATGTCACTCCAGAAACTGCCAAGGCCGCACAAGGCTGCTGACTCCCAGCCTAGGTACCGGTGGCCTGCTCTGCAGGACCTTCAAGTCTGAGGTGCCACCAGCAAGTGAGGGCCCTCCACGGGCTCTTCACCTTACGGTGGTACCCTGGGGCACCGCCAGTCCTCTGCTCCTACCCTGGTTCTGTTGTCCCAGGCAGAAGGAGCCAGAGCGTTCTCTCCAGGCCTCCCGAGGAGGCTGCTTCCTTTGTTTTGCAGATGGAGGCTCCCATCCTTTGTTCTGAATCAATGTGCTCCAAAGATAAGCCCCAAGAAAACAGTTGTTGCCTTTTGACACTGACAATTAGAATCGTTGGAAAATGGAGCAAACAGGAAATGACAAATGGTTTCAGTGACCAGGAGGAAACCAGCCTGAAAGTTGCTGCTTAGTGACTGAGCCACTCGCTTTCTGCTCTCTTATGAAGGACGGCCCCGGCCGTGTGGCCTTTTACAAAAAAGTTATGAAGGGGGCCATCACATTTTCTATAGGGCTGCAGTTGTTGTGGCACTAGGTCCTACTGTGCTACGTGACACCGACAGGCAGCACTGAGTTCTGTGCCAGCCCAGGTGTGCTTTTCTCATGGTGACCCCCAGAGAACTAAGACCTGGCTCTTCCTCTGACACACCCCCTCCCAGACCCCACCCTCAGACAAGGGACCACATTCAAAGACAGTCTCAGCCAAGGTGGCAACGTCAGAAGTCCCGAGGCTGCCTTTCTGGAACCTTCAGGCTGATGCCAGGAAGCCTTAAAGCCCCTACCTGTCTCTGGGAGTTGTGTGCTGGGTAGGAGACAGGGAAAAAGCCCAAAGCCCACTGCTGCCCACTGGCACAACCGAGCCTGTGCCGGGTGCTGCACCAGCATCTCTCACCAGCCACCACATACTACTGTCCCCTGCTTACCCGGGCACAATCACCTGGGTGCTACTTACTCACCGCTACACGGGAAGAATGATCTCGTTACCAACTTGACTACTTAAGTGGGCAAAAGGAGAAAGGCAGAGGGCAAGTGATCGGGAGACTGACAGATGCTCACAAAACATTCCTGGATTTCTGCCGAATTCGGGCTGAAGCTCCTTGCCCCAGAATCCTGAGCATCCTGGACAAGAGTTCAAACGACATAGCTTCTAGGGGATGGCAGTGGATGGATCCAAAGTCTTGCTTTATAAAGGAGGTGGAGGAAGGGAGGAAGGGAGGGAGGGAGTGGGAGAGGGAGGGAGAAGAAAGAAAGAAGAGGAAGAGGAGGAGAAGGAAAGGGAGGGGAGGGGAGAGGAAGAGAGAGAAGAGGGAGGACAGAAGAGGGGCAGGAGGGGAGGGGAGAGGAAGAGAGAGAAGAGGGAGGACAGAAGAGGTGCAGGAGGGGAGAGATTATCTACCCTCCATGCTGGGTAACTCCTGTTTCCTTTCCCGTGAGTGCCCCCACATAGAGCCAGCCTGCCATACAGCAGAAGGTGCTCAGCTATCTGTCCCAAAGGTTGAGCACTAGTGTGGGTTTGTTAATTACTCCACAAAGAAAAGCACCTTCTTTGGTACTTTTTGGAAGCCAGAATTAGAAACAACTCATTCACCCTTCTGACTTCCTTTGGAATGACAGGAAGATAGTATACTGCATGGGGCCACCAAACATTCAAGGTCTGAGCTCTGGGGACCCCCACGCCCATATGGGTGGAACCCTCTGAGACCGTGGGCACTGACTGCCCATGGCCCATTGATAGTGACAATGTAGACACTGCTGCCGGAAGCCTAGTTGGAGGATGAATGGATGGTCTTAGGAAAAAATTCCCTTCAGTCATCCTTCAGAAACTACAGGGGCTTCCTAAATTCAATGACGGGCAAGTTTTGATTGTTTCCTAAGCTCCTCCTAACTCTCAGAGCCTGTGACTCAGTTTCTCAGAATGCCTGCAGAGAGGCAGGACCATCGGGAGTAATAAGCACGAATTGGGACGTTTCTCCCAGTGGACTGTTAACGCCAAGATCTGGGCTGGAACCCACTGAACACCCACCCTTTTGCATTGCCTTGGCTCAATGCCTTTCCCTGCCCAGAATGCAACCAGAGGGATACAGGCCCCAGTAACTCTGGTGCCCCTGAACCTACCTCCCCGAGACTCTGATGGGAAGGTATTGCTTACATGACAGTCCAGCATATTCCTCTGTCACTCAGCTGACCAACATTGATCATGGGTCAGGCTCTATGCCAGGCATGGGGATAACACCATGTGTCTACTCTTATGGACACAAGTAAACCAATCAAAGCAGATCATGTTCTAATGACCACCCAGTAGGGTGAAGGGATGAAGGGTGAGCAGGTGCTGGCAGAAACCTCAGGTCAAGACATGGGACCCCAACAGGGAACTGGAACCTGCCACACCATTTTCTATGTTAGGGGTCTTTCCTTGTCCCTTCTGGAGACCTCACCCATGGTAATAGTGCTGCCCTTAGGTTTGAACTGGTCTGAAGCTGTCACTGGGGGTTAGGGGCTTCACAAAATAAATGCCATTGAAAGCAAATGGCAGAGATCTGCATAAGAAATGCTTTTTACCCTCTGTTTTCTGTCTTTTCACATGATCTGTGATTGCTGTAAACTCTATTCTGACTTCTCCTCAGTCTTGGCGGGTCTGGGAAGAACTTGGTTTAGATGCAAGGAGTGATCCTGGGCAAAGGAAACAAATGTCCTTCCAGCTTGACCTTCTTCTTCCCCTGTGGTGCCTGCATCCTCTGTCCTGCACTGACTCACAGGCTGGGCTGACAAGGTGGCTGTGCTGAGGGAGGATTTAGTGAATGCCAGGCCTGACCCTCAGAGTTTCTCAGGTGGGGCCAATTTCCACGTTTCTTAGAGAAGATATTGGACCACAAGTCTGCTCTGCCCCTTCACTGCTGGGTGAAAGACGCTGGCTTGAGAAGATAGAGAATAGGTGAAGGATGAGAATTCTCAAGGCAAGCTAGCCGAGGTCCTCTCATTTGTGGCTTCTAAGGACAGGGAAAGGCAGAGTAGACCAGGGTGGAAACAGCGACATCCTGAGGGGATGATGTCTGTTGTGCTAAATTCTGTTTCCCTGGCAGCTTTGTGCTGGATACGATTTCTTTGGTTTCAGCTGAAGAGTGAACAGCTGAGGAGCTCTGTGACTCTGAGAGAGGGAGAGAAATCAATAGTCCTTGAACGGAAAGCACGGCTTGTTCTTCCAGGCCAGGGCAGGCAGGATAAAGAGAACAAGGCTGTAAATACCAAAGCTGAATTTCCATTCAAGGCCAGAATCCTGGGAGGCCCTTTCAGCTTAATGACCATCTTCTGATCACTATCACTTAGAAAATGTTCATGTCTCCAGTTTTCTTTGCAGATAGGGCAGACATTCTGTGCACATCGATATTTTATGCACCAGATGGAATTCTCTGCAAAGGCCCCCTCTGGCTGGTGTCCATTCACTTGCTCTCATGACCACTAATTCGACTCTGGGGGCAAGTCAAGCCATTCTTTCTAGACTCTAGAATCTAGAGGATGATCCCAACTCACAGCCCTCTTGGACAAGCTTGGTTTGGATTCCTTCCGCCTGTACTCCCCAGACTGCCAGTCCTCCAGCAGGGCCATCCAACTTCCTGCTTCTAGAGTGTGGGAGTCCTAGGCGGGGTGTGGAATCCACAGCAGACGGCTGGCAGGATAGGCAGTTCCCAAGCACCCACTAGGTGCCAAGGAGGCAGGTATCAAGTGCAGGGCTTCGGAGGTGCAGAAGTACAGCCCCCGTCCCCCTCAGGTTCCTGGTCTGGCCGCAGGGAGGTATGGAAACAGGGTACTGGAAGGCGTACAGCAGAGGGAGAGAGCCACTGCACCCTGGACAATCTCCCAGTCATTTCCCTGGAGATGGGGCTGAGGCACCAGGAGCGCTCTGCTTGCTCAGGTTGTCCCTTTGCCAAAGAATGCCGGGGAGAAAGTAGAGAACAAGCAGGCCCAGGAAGCACTAGAAATCCCTCGTGGGTGGACAGAGCTTTACCTTTGGAGCTGTCACCTCCTGTGTTCCTCCCAACAACCCTGTGAGGCAGGCGGCAGGCTGAGCAGGGGACTGTGCCCCGTTGACAGATGAGGAAAGCGAGGCTCAGGGGGAAGTGACTTACCTGCAGCGTCGCAGCTAGGCAGTAGTGGAGCGGGCACCTGCCTCCAGGCCTTCGGATCCCAGCCGCCCCAGGGCGCTGCCTCTGAGGTGCTGTACGAGGAGGTGACTCGGGCCAGCTCATGAGCAAACGAGCTGCCGGGCAGGAAGGACTCACTCCCCAGGGCCTGGCAGGATGGGGGCTGTCGCCCGAGGCTGACCTTGGGGGGCCTGGCTTCCCCAAGCTTGCAGGCTTTGTCTACATGAGTCTACAACAACCGATTGAACAACCCATCAGCTGCTTGGCCACAAAACGGTTCCGACTGATCTTGTCAACTGCCCTGACTGCCTAGCTGAGTGGTTTGGGTGTTGTGCTTATACCTACCAACTGGTTTGGTGAAACAGAACCAAATAGCTTTGTAATCTTAGCTTGTCTTGGGTCACAGACTCCTTTGAGAACCAGTTACAAGCTATGGTTTCTCTCCACAGAAAAAGCACTTGTGGTGTCTCTCTCTTTCCAGCCCATCAACATTTTACATGTAATTTTCGGGGTTTTTCTGGACCACTTAATACCCATCCGTGGATCTCATGTGAAGACTCCCCTGACTTGCACAATCACTGTCTTCTTGAAAATGGGAATAAAGCTAAGTCAGACAGCTGGTTCATCAGCAATGACTTTGACTAAGCCTGATCCCACCCACCTCACCCCACTGACCACCCCCACTCAACAGAGCACACGACTCTAAACTGGTTTGTAGGTATGTGTGTATAAACACGCTGAGGAATCTGCAAAACCAAATGGTGAGTGCAAAACCAAACAGTCACGAGTACATCTCACAACAACATATGCTGAGCTGCAGCCCCACTAGGACCCCAGGGTTTTAGGACTTGTGTGTGTGTGGAGCGTCCCCTTTCTATCATGCTTTAGAAGGCAGGGATTTCACCAGAATTGAACATATTGAACACATGACCCATTTTTTTTAGCCAAAAGCAATTAAAATAACCTCACACTTGATATCCATGTCAACAAAAGCTGCAAAACGCAAATGGGCAGCTGCTAATAGCTCTGGCACCCTGACGAGCACACCAAGCGCTTAGCAACAGTGCTGTCCAAAGGACCACGTGGAAGCCTGCCTTGATGAGAAGCAGCACCTCTCCTCTGCTGCTTTCATACCTGAGCTTTGAGTGATCATCTATGTCCACTAGCAAACATCCCAGTGGAGAAAACACTCATACCCGAAATCTAAGCTAAATAGTTGGAATCCCTTCAATTTATTGCAATAAACACCTAGTAAGCACCTATTGTGGGCAAGTCTTTGCAATGGATAATAGTTCAGTAGATAGTTTGATGTATTATTTGAAATAACAATAAAAATTGCCACCGGTGAATTTATTGAGCATTTGCTGTGCTTTAGGCACTAACCCAGGTTCTTTAAATATTTGGTCTCATTCACTGTATAAACAGCCATCTAAGAGAAAGGGACTATGATTTTACAAATGAGGCCACTGAGGCCCAGAGAGGTTAACTAAGTTGCCCAAAATCATACAGCCCATTAGCAGCAGAGCAGGATGCAAACCCAGTCTTGCCTTGTTCCCAAGTCCACATGTCATTTGCATTGGTATGGATGTGTGCATGTGTTTAGTCATTAGCAAGTTACATGACAAGCAAGTTTTGCAATGTAGAAACTTAAAATGGGCCATTAAGAAAAGTACAGGCAAGGTTTTCCAAGGGGAGGTGTGGCTCTCCGGACAAATTTTTAAGAACAAATTATAAATACTTAAAAATGGGAATAAAAAAACAACCTAACTACCTGAACAGTTTTAGGGATGACTCTTGCCCACCCTCTAAAACCCTAACAAAAACAACAAAGGCAAGAAAACCCATGAAATCTTAGCAAGCAAATTCTATGTACTTGTAACAAGGATTTCTTTACCATTCTAATGGGATTTATATCAACCAGAGAGGGCTCAGTGCCCCTCTCGCGGGCTGGTTAGTGAGTACAGAGCTGAGCTCACCGGCCATCCATAGCTTCATGTTGTCAAGTTCCAGTGTGTCCTTGGATCAAGCTATCTGGGACATGAGCAGAGACGTTGCATTCTACAATGGACAATTCTTTCTGCCTGCATACCTAGCTCCCTGATAACTGTAAACACTATTTCATAACCACATTGGAGTTTTCAAGACCTCAATATGCAAATATTACTCAGGTTCTGATTACTCATCTGCTCCATGACAATACACTTTAAAAGCAATGAATGGGGCTTATTTGTAGAGAACTGAAGCGTTTTAAGCTTTTGCTCAGGAATCCCTGGTAGCTTCATGTGACTTGCAGAATATTAGTGATGGGTCAAGAAACAGGACCCCCCATCAGCATTAACATACGCTTGCAGTGCCTCAGTAGTCCATCAGGCAGAAAAAACTGCAGATGGCACATGGAAATGACCAGCGGCGGAAGATACCCTGACAGCGTGGGCAGTTCTATTTCAGCAGCAATCAAGAGGGGGCCTGGAGCCACTCAATCAAGTGGAGCAGGATGAGCAAGCACTGTGCAGACCAAAGCAATCACCAGTTAAAACACAAAATAAATAAAAGAGATGAGATTCAGTCTCTTGACTGACTGAATGGGAGCTTTATAGCTGATGCTTGTGTCTTTTCTCCATTTTATTTAATTAGGAAAAGAAACTGCTTATCACACACTCTTAAGTGTGAGTTATGACCTCCAAAGAGAAGGTCGTTAGGAACATTTCAACTTCTAGAAGTTTCTAAACATAAGGCAAATCCATCTCTATCTTTGGGATCACTGCACATCTCAGAAATGCAAATAAATCAGTAATTGGTGAGCATAATTACTAGCTCGTGGACTGACAAATTGTACACTATTTCAAATCTCACAGAAGTAAGCCATGGGACAGATAGAATCTGATAGTGGCACCCCATTTCCTGGAGGTCACACCTACTCATCTTCCTGGACCTGGGGCTTCTCATGATTGTCAGAGAGCTTGCTGGAACCAGGTTAGCCCAGTTTCCCTTCCCCTGAAAAATCCTCCAATGGCTCTCACCAGACCAGAGACGCAAGTGGAAGCACATCCACCCTCTCAGAAGCCAGGTTTTGCGTTTCCTAATGTCACGTACCTCCAGTCATGCCAATCCCCCTGGAGCTCTCCAGACAGGCTACCATGTGTGTTTGGCCCTCTGTGCTTCTCCTCCTCGGTTTGCCAAGCCTGGTCTGCCCTTTCTCCATGACTGTACTCTGAGAATTCTGTGTGTCTTTCAAGATGTAGCTCCTCCACCCTGGAAATTGTGCCTCTCGTTTCAGGTCCAGCTCCTGTGACTGAATACCCTTGGCTGACTGATCATTCTTGCTGGGCCAAGTCTTAATCGTCTCTAAATCTCTCTGGTGCCCAGACAGTATCCAGCCTGGGCAAAGGGCTCAGCAAATACTTGCAAAATTCAATAAACTTTACTATGTTGTTAGCTTGGCATGATGTTCCAGGTACTTGGGAGATTATAATCTAGCGAACATTGGGCTAGTCTTCTTTTTGAGATGAACGTCAACGATAAACTGAGCCTTTACTCTCATTTTAGCACATCTACTCATCTCTTTTCAGTGCTGGTGGGTTTATAAAACCCATCAGTAGAACAGAGAGTGATCATAATCATATAGTGAAAATAACATCAGCTAACACATTTACTGAGCATGCTTTAGTGTGCTGGCACTGAACTGTGTGCACACATGAATTTGAGATGTTGTTCCTAGCTAATAAGATGAGGAAGTGGAGATGGGCTTATTCAGGTCACACAATGGCAAGATGGGGTACAGAAAGAAACCAAGCTAGAAATCAAGCAACCGCTGGGTTTGGAAATGCATGGGCTCCTTCTCTGCACATGGCAAGGAGCAGTCAGGTGCTTCTCCTTCTTTCATACTGAAATAACTGCATTGCTGGCTATTCTGTGACATTGCTATTCTGTAGCTCAAATTGCTCTGGTGCAAGGAGCTCAGATTATGACTAATCCCCACAAATATTAAGCTGCTTTGCAAGAAGTGGATGACTGCTCTGGCTTTATAATATTGACTAGATTGGATATTGGTTCAATCTTCACTCTGGTGATTCAGAAAAAGGCATATGCACATTTGCAAGGTTACAGTAGTGCACTGTAATTCCACTGGCTTCTGAGAGCTTGTAGGGTTCTTGACTTAATCATTCTGGAATTCAGGTAATGGATCCCCAACACCGTTTTTTCTTTTTCTGGTCTTTACTAACCAAGTAACAGAAGTGAGCGGAGTGAATCCAAGAAAGCGAACTAGAGACTAGATTAGTGTGCCAATGACTCTCAGAGTCCAAGGTCCTCTGTGACTGCACTGACTTCAGAAGCCAACTTCAGTTGTTCAAGTCACTCGTGAGGTTACTATACCCAAAAATCCAGATTCTTCCACAGCTCTGCCTTCACCTCTTTGGGCTATCTGGCTTCTGGCCAACATGGTGAAACCACATCTCTACTAAAAATGCAACAAATTAGCTGGGCGTGGTGGTATGTGCCTGTAGTCCCACCTATTTGGGAGTCTGAGGCACTAGAATCGCTTGAACCCAGGAGGCGGAGGTTGCAATGAGACAAGATCATGCCACTACACTTAGGTAGTGCCAATCCCACCCATTTGGTGGATCTGTTCTGTAAATCTGCATTTTGTAAAAGTTTTCTTGGAGCAGGGTACCCCCTAAGCTTGGAAGAGTTTAGGCTTTTCTGGGGTTTTCCCTCCACAAATGTATATAATTTAACTTTAACATTTCAAAATATAAGTGTTTAGGGCTGATTAAAATTGACTGGGTCCAAAATCAAGTTCACCTCATCACTTAAATTCTCAGATTTGACATTTAATCACAAAATTAAGTTCAACTGATAAATTGCTACTTTGACAAGGGGAAAAATAACCCAATAACAGAAAAAGGTAAAACCCATAATATATAAAGAAATGAAGGAATTACTATCCCCTGGGCAGTTACCTCACTGTGGCACATTCCTGTGGATATCCCATAGTACTTGGCATAGAGTGAATCAGCAGTACCCTTCCCACTTCTGACATTGAGGCTGTGGGACATTTTCATAGTGACCAAGGCTATGCCTGTTGTCAGCAATGCTGGGTTGTGAGGTTGGTGGGCAACTGGGCATCGTGCTACTTGGGGGAGCATCAGGGGCTGGGTAAAAGGGAAGGGCATCAAGGCTCTCCAGAGTCTAGCATTTCAGTAGCCAAAGAGGCCTGTGGCAATCGTT